AATAATAATAGATAGTATTAAAAATATTAATATTATATTATTTTATTATTATTATTATTATTATTATTATTATTATTATTATTATTATACTATACTTTATTTATTTTATACTATTATTATACTGCATTTTATTATATATAATATTATGTATATTACTATGTTTATTTTACTTTTTTTTACAAAGTACAAAAAATAGTAATACCATAATATTGTTATACCATATATTGTTATACCAGTAATACAATTGCATATATATACTCGTATATATATGGTATAACACAAATATAAATGGTATATTATATTTTGGTTTTTATTACATATTAATTTGTAATATTACATATTACATATTTGTTGTTATATACGTACATATATATATATAAATAAATAGTAATAGGAGAATGTCGCGTGTCCGGTTTAGATTACATTGTAACGTACAAGCAATGTAATTTCGTTTTGAACGGTTTAAAGTGCGTACTAAAGCTTTTAAAAGCTCGATGGACTATGGATAAATTTCAAGCGAATCGATGAGGGTGGTCCTCTCTCTCTCTCTCTCTCTCTATCTATTTACCACGGATAACAATTCCCCCGTAGGGAGAGATGAAGGCCCTAACGAAATTTCAGATAGGGGTCCTCGTCAAGCCCCGGTAACATCGTACGAGACGTAAATAATCGAATCAGTTTGGAACATGGTCAATCCACTTTATGTACATACTAACGCGTAACTCCGTGTCGACTATATCTATCTATCTATCTATGTTGAATTATAATTAGGCTTCTTCTATCATTAGGTTATACTTTATAAAAATATTTTGTTTGAAGTAAAAACTTCTTTAGAATCTCTGTGATTTGTAAAAAAATGAAACGCAGTAATGTAGCGGTGAGAACGAAACCGTAATATAGTGGGAAAAAGAAACGGACACTGTAGTAAGGGGAAAACGAACGTTGTAGTGGGGAAAAAGAGAAAAAGAGACAAACATATAGGATTGAACCTGCGAGAGACTAAGACAGAATATAGTTATACAATTTTTGAAGTGAAAACTTTTTTAGAATGGGAGTGTTCTGAAAAGTAAATAAACGCGGTTGGTCAGGAAACGGAGCTATGAAACGGAGCTATGAAACGGCTGCTATACTAAATAATGAGTGAAAAAGAGACAAACATATAGGATTGAGCCAGAGAGAGAATGAGACGGAATATAGCTATACAGTTTTTCCTATTCTCGGTCTCCTCTTTATGCTATGCTTCGTAGTTATCACTCCTGGTTGTATATGTGTGTGTCTGTGTGCGACTGCATACTACAAAGTGTGAACACGTATTCTTTCGATACTCGAAATGTTTATAGGTAGGAGCGATAGAAGGGTAGAAGAATAAACAGAGATAAGCGTGTAGGTAAGGTAGGTAAAATAATTTTTGAATGTGGTAACAATATAATAATAATAATACTATAACAAATAAATCCTATAATTATTTTACACCTGATGATCTGCATTCGTCTCATTCTCTCGAAACTTAGTTTTTTAAAGGTTTCACTTCTAACACGTGTAATCTGCACACATGTTGTTTTTTTTATATTTTTAGGTTTTTTTTTTCGTTCTTAAAGTTTACTAATATTTAATATATTATTTTTAATTTATTATTATTTAACAGTATAATAATATTTAATAATTATAAACCCCACCTTCACAAAAAGTATCATTCAATTACTCATGTGTTCAAACACTGATATGTATATTAAGAGAATATAATTATCTATACTCGTTAATCTTGATCTAACTAAGAGATAGGAATCTTATATATCATGTCAATAAAATGAAAATTAAAAATGACGGTTTAGGATGATGTCAATTAACTTACAAGACAAGAACATTAATAATAGGATTGTATCTCGACACGATTTCACGTTACACTTGCTTTAATAACACAACATCGATATAATTGTAATATCAACGTTCAACTTGGTTGGTCCTTTAATGGTGTTTCATGCAAGTGCAGGAAGGCAGGCAGGCAGGCAGGCAGCAACGAATGATTTAAGCACGACACTAATACGAGCTGTCATCGTGCCGCGAGCACGAATCCACGTGTGAAACTTAATTCGATTAGCTTGATACACGAATGATCTACGTACGTGTTAGTGGTGATAGTGGTGGTGATGGTGGTGGTGGTAGTATGAACGAAGCCGTTAGGAAAATCACGTTAGTTGCTTTCGTTCAACACCCATTCCCACCCACTTCTACTCTCACTCCTCCACGAAATTCACGTTAGGGTACCCTTATGTTGTTTCTTAAGTAAAAAAATACGATGAAATTTTTCTATTTTTTTTGAGAATCTATGTGAATGAAAGATAATCTGTTTGATTATTTTGATTATAATAACGATATTGAAATTTTTAATTACACAAAATTGTGTTATACATTTGGAAGAATAAAATATATCAAAAAAAAAATATATATTTGTTTGATTTATATTGAATATTAATAAACTTTTAGAACGAAAGAAAAGGAAACACAATATTTTGTGCTTGCAAATATAATATAAAGTTAGGAGAATAACATATAGTTAATATTTTTCTTATATATATAAAAAAAAAAAATAAAATCTATATTTTCATTAATATATTAAATTAATAAATATACAAAGAAAGATTATTCGATAAATCAACGCATGTAANATATTAATAAACTTTTAGAACGAAAGAAAAGGAAACACAATATTTTGTGCTTGCAAATATAATATAAAGTTAGGAGAATAACATATAGTTAATATATATAATATATATATATATATATATATATATATATATATATATATTATAAAATAACATAATTATAAATTAAAAGAAAGATTATTCGATAAATCAACGCATGTAAAATTGTAATTAAAAATAATAAATATAATTAGGGGGGGGGGGAAAGAAAAAGGATAAAGATTAATTGAATAAAAATTATTTTTGATACGTACAAATAATTAATTGCAATTAATTTAAATTACTTTATAGAGAATGATAAGAATTATTTAATATTCTATAACGTTAAATTATAAATGCATTTCTACGTGATTGAGATTAAAATCAGTAGAGAAAATTTTGTTTAGAAATTAGAATGATTGATTAGAATAATAATTGGTAGAAATGTTTAACAAATGTATTATCAAATCGATATATTTGAAAATTCATTATAAGCGTAATTTATTTGGTGAATTATTATTATCATCATTGAATTTGTGTGTGTGTGTCTCTCTCTCTCTCTCTCTCTCTCTTTCGTTTGTACCTATAACTAATTAATTACTTAAACTAACGTTACAGTGATAACGAGAGATAGATTCTATTGGACCTTGTTACTCGGAACATGTTGGAATGTCTCTATTCTAGTCTAATTCAATTTCGTAGTCCGATCTAATTGCGTTGAATCAAACCAAGATCGAAGCTTCGGGAACTATTCGTCGAAGAAAATTACGTTCACGTTTGGGGATCCATCATTATAATTATCTCAAGTAATTTGTCATTTTCTTAATAGTTCATTGCTATTCAAGTATTATATATTTAAATATCTAAAACAAAATATATATATATATATATATAGTGTTGAACTAAACTAACTTTTAACTAAAATGTTTTATAGAAACGGATTAATTTATTATTAACCAGATTTTAATAATAAATTATTTATAATTTTATTTAATAATAAATTATTTAATTTTAATTTAATAATAAACTATTTAATTTTAATTTAATAGTAAATTATTTAATTTTAATTTATGAATAAATTATTTAATTTTAATTTAATAATAACAGTTTTTGTTTTTAAATATAATTTAATATAATTAATATAAACATTACATAATATATTTTACATTAATATTAACAAACACGTATATGTTTCGAAAAATCAAGTTAGTAATTTTTACCAAACGCAGATATATACGTCCATAGCACTGTAAGGGTTAACATAATAATTAAATGCACTTTTTAAATTTTAATATATATAAATTACGTGTCACGTTGTTTGTCCGTAATGAACTCCTAAACTACTGAACCGATTTTAATAAAATTTTACAT